CTTTCAGTGCTGCGAGCACCGTGCATCATTACCGTCGCAGGGAAAGATGCCACTTCCTGTTTTCTCCTAGTTGTTCATTCTGTTTTCTCTCACATCTGCTCATTACGGAGCATTATAGCGCTCTCAACACGCTCTTTCATAATGCTCGTCATTTACTCTGCTTTTGGAATAGTTTTCTCTTTCATCTCAGAGCTCTTCTGCCTCTCATCCACGGTTTTTATCTTCACTTTGCTGTTTCTCTCAGTTGCAAATAATAAATGAACAACAACAACAATAATACAATATTATAATTAATGAAATATATTATTATAGTAATTATAGACTCTTCTGAAATCGAATAAGCACAATTTACATTAACAGTTGTAGTTTCCTTTGCCGCATTTTTAAAACAAGCCATTATGACAATCACTGGATGTAAACAAGCAAGTCATTGGAAGATTTTAAAAATGTATTTTTATATAAATAATAAAAAATATTTATTTTATTTTAGTGCTGTCAAACGATTAATCGCGATTAATCGCATCCAAAATAAAAGTTTTTGTTTTTTGTATATATGTGTGTGTTCTATGTATATTTATTATGTATATATAAATACACACACATTCAGTATATATTTTGAAAATATTTACATGTATTTACATGTCTATATTTATATTCATATAATTTATATTATAAATAAATATATATAATATATAAAAATAACATATTTTTCTGAAATATATACATGCATGTGTGTGTATTTATATATACATAATAAATATCCACAGTACACACACATACACATTATGCAAACAAAGACTTTTATTTTGGATGCGATTAATCGCGATTAATCGTTTGACAGCACTATTTTATTTATAAATATAATTTCAGTTGTAGGTGTGCTATCTATTTTATGATTTATTTATATAATTTCTGTTCTAGGTGTGCTGTTTTGTTATCTGATTTATTTTTATTAATTTATAAATATAATTTCAGCTGTAGGTGGGCTATTGATTTTTATTTATTTAAATTTAAAAAAAATATAATCGCACCTGTTAGTATGTTAATTCATTTATTTGTTTTAAATATAATTTCAGCTGTAGGTGTGCCATTTATTTATTTATTTGTTTGTTTGTAAATATAATTTCAGTTCTAGGTGTGCTATTTTGTTATCTGATTTCTTTTTATGCACTTATGCTGTAAATATATGCACTTTTTTTAAATTTAGTTTATTTCTTTTTATAAATATAATTTCAGCTGTAAGTGTGCTATGTTTTGTTCATTTATTTTTTATTCATAAATATAATCTCAGCTATGTATTTATTTTAGCTTTATAAATATAACTTCAGCTTATTTTTATTTTATATATTTATTTTAATTAAAAACATTGTGCTGAAGGATCATTTATTGAGACAACAAGCACAGTTTCATGATGCGAATATTTATGTTCTGGACCCTGGGTATATCCATATATAATGGGCACGGCATACTATTGTTTTGTGTTTTGTCTAATTCTCACCCAGTCCTGTGAGTGAAACGGAGAAGGTTAAAAAAGGACATTCGCACGAGTGACTCAGCAGCCGGCGGCTCATTAAGACACATTAAACATCCCCCTGCAGCAGATCCAGGCCCGCAGGCGTTACAGAGCCTCCTGGGAGCCACAGCAGAGCCGCTCATGTCCACATCTTCATCAGCCTGCTTCACTATGGCTGCTTTAAGTTACCATAGTAAAACTCTGCTGTTATGGTCACTGTTGACAAAACCAGGAATGAAAGAAAACACTGAAAGCTGCTTATACGATCTGAATTTGATTATACTGTAGTAAAACTACAGTACTCTGGTGGAAACTATAGTTACCAGTGTACAATGAAAGGGAAGAAAACACTCAACTAGACTCAAAAAGCAATGCTTTCTAGGGTCTACAACTATCAATGTTAACATGCATCATGTTTTTTCCCCACATGCATAATGGTAATACCGTGTTTTTGCATGTTACTATGGTAATATCATGTTTTTGTATGTTACTAATACTATTATGCATGTGCAGAAAACATGATGTTACCATAGTAACATGTCCAAAAGCATGGTATTAATATGATGCATGTTTTAAAAAAAACATGGTATTGTCATAGCCCATGTCCAAAACCATAGTAATACTATGATACATGTCCAAACAACATGATTTTACAATGTAACATCTTCAAAAGCATGGTAGTACTATGATGCATGCATGGTTATTTCCATGTTTTTGGACATGTGCTTTGATAATACCATGTTGTTTTATACAGCCATCATAGTAATACCATGCTTTTAGACATGTTACCATGGTAATACCATGTTTTTGCACGTGATATCATGGTAATACCATGTTTTTTGCACATGCATCATAGTAATACAATGTTTTTGGACATGCACTATGACAATACCACGTTTTTTAATACATGCATCATAGTAATACCTTTTTTTTGGGCATGTTACCATGGTAATACCATGTTTTTGCACATGCATCATAGTAAAACTATGTTTTTAGACATGTAGACTTTTATATGCCTCGTGGTAATTAGAGTAATACCATGTTTTTGTTTGCATGCATTAATTTAGAATAATATCATGTTTTTGTACGTGCGCCGTGGTATTACCATGTTTTTTGATATGTTAGCATAACACCATGGCTTTGGTTTTGGAATGATGCCGTGTCTGTTTATGGAAATATTATGGTATATCCCAAAATGCCATGCTTTTAAGTACACCTTTGTAAGTGTAATGAATAATGCTGCGTTTGGATGCTATATGCGGAGAGAGAGACTGTGTGAGTAAGAGAGAGACCGACACATCCGTCGCGCTTTACGGTGAAACGCGCGACACAGGCCTGCGTCCGCCACCGTAAACCGACAGACACAGCGGATCTTTCGCGTCTCGTATGAGGCACACGAGCAGCCAAACCCTTCTTCCAGCGGAAACCGATGTGTCATGACATCGATCGGGGAGAAAACGAGGAGAATCCAGGAATAACGCGCGACTCCGGAGCGACATTATATTCATTCCGAGGTAACGCGTGATCGCCTTCATATGTGTGAGTGTGTGCTTGTCAATGTTCCGTTACGGGCGGGTTTTACACATCGTTTTATGCATTGGCACAGGATTGCATTGCTTCCTTCGCTATATAATGTTATATAGTGCTCTAATAGAACAGCATATAATGTCTATCCCAAAACAGGGTTTCGTTGGATAGAGAAACAGACGTGACACCCCACAGTAAACCCGTCGGGCGGCTGCACAGGTGCATCTCTCGTGAATTTAAAGGGATTCATAAATCACAGGTCGTATTGAACCGCTTAAGGACATTATATATTCTTATACTTAAACAATTAGGCCCCATAGTAGGCTACAAATAACGTGGATAAATGTTACTTTGAAAGGTTTACGCGTCCCTGATTGATGCGTTGTTGAAATAACAGAGATGATGTTTGTCTTAAAGGGACATGTCACCTAAAAATGCAAATTGAGTCAATATTTACTCACCCTCATGACGTTACAAACCCGTGAACTTTACAGTATTTAATGACGCAAAAGTGTTGTATGGAACAGATCGCCAATGATATTATCTCGCCAATGATACATTAAATACTGTAAAGTTCACGGTTGTCATCATGACGGTGAGTAAATATTGGCAGAATTTGCATTTTTAGGTGAACTGTCCCTTTAAGACTAACATCTCTGTTATTTCAACAACATGGATGGGGACTGAGCGATCAAGGGTAAAAGGGTATTTATCCATTCATTCATTCTGAAGCCATAAATTTGGGTAAGGAACTGCCATAATTCTCAAAAATTCTATAAATGGCGTTTTTAAATTTTGGGTGTACTGTTCCTTTAATGTTTGTGCCTTGTGGATTGTGGGAGTCAGATATGTTTCCAAATAGCTGATGGGTAACACAAGAGCTCCCTAGTGAGATATATGGGCATAATTAGTTGTGGTAATGGTACAAGCTCTCAGTTTGGCAATGCTTAGACTTTAAACACTTTAAAAATGGTGTCTAAATGTATTGGACATGTAGGCAGAGAATAATCTCATTGTGTTTTTCTCACTGCCAGAGTGACAAAGAGGCATCGTTCAAACACATTTAGCAGTTCTAATAAAATTGCACTGTACATCAAATCAATAATAGCTTCCTGAACAGCATAAAAATGCTGATATGCCCATTTCAAAGACAGTAATGATGTTACAGACTAGAAATGTTGCAAATGGAATGTAACAGTGTTTTTTATGAGGCTGTGACATCATAATGGGGCTGTATGGTGTCCGTGGTAACAGTGGAACTGTAGAATTGTTTATGTCCTTGGTAATCATTCCGGCGATTGAGTTAATCAGTGCTGCCTCACGCACTCAAACAGGCACTTCTAAAAGCATTAGGTCACGTTTGCAGGCTTGAAATCTTTGGGGGTCAAACCGAGGCTGGTTTTTCTTGACCTTTGCGTGCACACGTTCACAAATATAAAGGACGGCCGACCATCGTCAGTTCATTAAATTGGCCTGAAGAGCACATCAGTATTCACACGTTAGCACCTGTCAACACCCACTTCACTCTAATCAACCAATTAGCATCCAATAATATAAAAACTGTACATCATAAAGACAATATATGCATGTTGATTTTTTCCAAATCACATATTTTAGTCATACTAAATTGGAGATCATTCGAAAGCGTAAACACTCAAAATTAATCCTGTAAAAACTGTGAAATCAGACATTGTGTTACCATGAAAATGGCACTTTAAAACCTTTTAGGAGGCTCCTCCCCTTAGTGGGCGGTGTCAAGTGTCATATAAAATTTTACTACAATATTTGGTAACACTTTATTTTAAAGGGGTCATATGATGCTGCTAAAAAGAACAGTATTTTGGGTATTTGGTGTAATGAAATGTGTTTATGCGGTTTAAGGTTAAAAAAAAACATTATTTTCCACATACTGTACATTATTGTTTCTCCTCTATGCCCCGCCTTTCTGAAACCCGTCGATTGTCAGCTTAACATCGTGATGTCTGTCAGCCATCGGTGATGGACGATAGCATCGTCTATCGGCCCAACCCTAGTAATAAGGACACTTAAAGTGTAACCCAATATTTTATAATCAAAACCTTTTCTAATCTTGACAAATCATGTATCATTGGAAAGGTCTCAACATTCCATATTTAATACATTTTATTTTGTGATTGAAGTAAAATTGTGATAGAAATGTATACATTTGTGACAGGAATTGCATTAAAAAATGCTTTTTTTCTTCTCATCTTTTTTTTTGTGATATCAACTTCAAATTTGGAACATAACTTTAGACATATGGCTTTGATTTGATAGCAATTTTAGCATTTTGTTTTTAGTATGGTACATTTTCATTACGGTAAATGTAAGCTTCTATAACTTTATTACACTTTAATATATATATATATTTTGCAAATTTTTCAGCAATATTCTGCTGATTGTTTTTAAACATATTGCAAATTAAGATCTTCTGAGCGGTTGCCAGGATGTTTTGGTGCATGCAAAAATATAATAAATTGTACATCATAAAGACAATGTTTGGTCATTTTTTAATAATTTGGAAACTACTAGGAGAATATATTTTTCAACATATTTAAACATACTTACAGAATATTCACAATATATTTATTTTACTGGCAAAATAAAATTAAGTGAAATTCTGAATTTTGCAATGTTTTTATTTATTTATTTAGCCAGTAAGTTTCCAAATGTGACATTTTTATATTAAAATATTAAAGTAAAAATACAGCTAAATATTTATTTTTTATTGCAGTTGTATTAGTGAAATTAAATGATTAAATATCATAATTTGTGAAAAAAACAATGCTTTTGTCATTTAACTAGATTTTTACTGCATTTTAATTGCATTGAACATATTGACTCTGCTAATCAAGTGTTGTTGTTTTTTTTCATTAGTTTTTTTGTATTGTCAAAAGGTCAAATTTTTTAAGATGTACTTTCTTTGTCTTTTTTTGTAAAACCATAGCAAACACTTCTAGAGAATGGTTTCTAGGTTCAGACAATCCGTGCAATTCCCGAGTAGTTGCCTAATCTTATTTTAGGCCTTAAGCCACAGGCCAGTCAACTCAGGAATGTCCTGTGTCGACAGCGTCAGACTCGCTGTCCCCTCGTCTTTTGGGTTGCACTTTTAAAATGCAGGAGGAGGTGGAGCATCACGTGTGTGTGTGTGTGTGTGTGTGTGTGAAATAATGTTGTTGCATTCGGGGTGAACGACCGCAGATGATGCACAGTCACAACCCAACATTCAGATGAACAAGCGTCTATTTAACATCACATTCATGCAAAAACGGCAATTTAACAAGCTCTTCATGTTCTTTTTTGGTCACATTTTGTCGTTAGATTGTGATTTGAATTGTAGTGTTTATGTCGAGCTGGCTAGTTTGTGGTGTTGTGTTTAGGTGTTGTTCACACTGATAACAGCAGATTCATAAAGGATCTCATGGACATCTCCGAGTAACAGGAACAGTGGTTGCTAAGGCGTTGCTATGCAGTTATGGTGTTCCGAGCATTTTGCTATGAAGTTACTAAGATCTGAGTGTGTGCCAGGGTGTTTGGAGTGGTTGCTAGGGCATTATGCAGTTGCTAGTGTCTTTTGGGTGGCTGCTAGGGCATTGCTATGCAGTTGCTAAGGTCTTCTGGATGGTTTCATATGTATACACTTTCATAAATGGTTGCTAAGGTGATCAAAGTGTTCTAAGCAAGTTGCTATGAAGTTACTAAGGTTATTGGATGGTTGCCGGTGTATTTGGGTGGTTGCTAGGGCATTGTTATGCAGTTGCTAAGGTCCTCTGGGTGGTTGCCAGGCTGTTCAAGTGGTAGCTAGGGCATTACCATGCACTTGCTTAAATGTTCATAGTGACTTCATAGAAACTTGCTTAAGACACTTTGAGCACCTTAGCAACTGCCTAGCAATGCCCTAGCAACCAACCAAACACACTGGCAACCATCTGATAATCTTGGTGTTTTAAAACATGCTGTTCAAGTGGTAACTAGGGCATTGCTATGCAGTTGCTAAGGTGTTCATATAATTTATAGCATGTTGCTACGAAGTTACTACAATTATTGGATGGCTGCCAGTGGGTCTGTGTGGTTGCTAGGGCACTGCTAAGCAGTTTCTAAGGGGTTCATAGTGTTTATAGCATGATATGAAGTTATTAGGATTAATCGGTGGTTGCCATGGCATTGCTATGTTCATAGTGTTTAGAGCATGTTTCTATTAAGTTACTAAGATTATTGGATGGTTGCCAGTGTGTTTGGGTGGTTGATAGGGCATTGCTATGCAGTTGCTAAGGTGTTCAGAGTGTTTTAAGCAAGTTGTAATCTTGTGGATGGTTGCCAGGGTGTTCAGGGTTGTTGCTAGGGCGTTGCTATGCAGTCGCATGTTGCTAAAGAGTTACTAAGGTTCTCTGGGTGTGTAATATGGTATTCCGTGTGGTTGCTAGGGCTTTGATGTACAGTATTGCTATTGTGTTCAGAGTGTTTTAAGCATGTTGCTATGAAGTTACTAAGATCTTTTGAGAAGTTGCTAGGTCATTGCTATGCAGTTGCTAAGGTGTTCATAGTGTTTAAGATTAATCAGTGGTTGCTAGAGCATTGCTATGCAGTTGCTATGAAGTTGCTATGTTACTAGTTACTTGCTATGAAGATAATCTGAGAAGTTGCTAGGTCCTTTCTATGCAGTTGCTAAGGTCTTCTGGATGGCTACTAAGGCCTTGATACACAGAAGGTGTTTTTTACACTGTCAAACTAGTTTTATGCATCTGTCAAACACTCTGTCACAGCTCTCTCTAGTATGTAGTTGACTTTACTCTGAGATACTGTACCAGCACCATCACTTCCATATTTCATCTGGCGTCACCCTACACCTCGTTTAGGCAGGTGATGCAGTACAACAGCGTTTGATTGCATTGTACTCATTAGATTAAATCTTCTGTCATGTCCGTTTCATGTTTTCGGTCGAGTAGGTGCTCATGAGATTGTCTCACTG